ACTGAAGTTGACTGCCTCCTGGGAATCACAGAGAAACCAGACTATGATCTCGAGACCTTTGTGAGCAGAGCTAAGTACTTCGTAGAGGACGGCTCAAGAAATTTCCTCAGCGTTAGAGGTATGTGAGTGCCTGTCTCTGACTAGCACTGTCACTAATGCTTTTCCAAAGACCTGAAAGTAAACCCAGCATACCTGTGGGGGGTTGAGCACCCAGTCCTTCTGCATAGCTCTCAGCTCTGCTGAGAGGGATAGCTGGGCTGGGGAACTCAGCTTCCAGGTCAGTCACCCTGTCACTCCTATCTTCCTTTACAGAAACACTGGATGCCCTGGGGGCTGCCATGCAACTGGAGGAGCAAGCCAGCAAGCAGATAAGAAGGCAGAGGCCTTAGTCATTACAGCAAAATCTGGTTCACAAGCAATCTTTCACGCACTTGTCTTGTCTTGCATGTCTGTCAGTGGTTTGTGTCAGTCGTTTTAAATGTGGTAGAGTGTCTGCAGGTCACGTGTGCCCAAGGGCAGTGAACATGGCAGCCTTTTTCTCCATGGCCTGTATCTGGGGACTCAGCAAAGTGCTAAAATGCACTCACTACAAGGCTTGGGGAGGAAGCCTGAGGGTCTGCAGTCTCTGCCTGAGAGATGCCTGGCATCTGGCCTCTTGCTGGTGACAATGGTGTCCCCTAATAGAACTAAATACACATGTATAGTACATAACCTTTCCAGATGTGCTTGAAGCACTGCAAAAGTGTTGCAAGTTTTGCTTTTCTAGAAACAAAATGGACTATGTGATTGTAAAACTCAGTATTTTAAGAAGTTGAATAAATAAATGTTCTTGGATTTAATTATCTTCTGTCCTATAAAATATATTTCTTGCTGATTTTGGTAAAGTCTAACAGCCCTAAAGACTGGCTGGTTGTATAGAGAGGCTGATTTCTTGGATGAAGTTTTTTTCCAAAGTCTTTATACTTGTAATGTTTACATAAAAATCATTCAAAATAAGTTTTGTCTCTTAATTTTGAGATCTTGCTGGGTAGAACTTGCCTAACATGAGGGAAGCTAGTTTAGAGGGTACCTATCCTCCTATATAGTGAGTGGCTCAGTTATTTTATCAGGTAAGTAGGAAGGGCCCTGTGAGACTCCTGTAAGACTGGAGCTTATGGAGATTTTGAAGATAGCTGCAGGATCTTATTTTATATTTCTTCATATGTTTCCCATTTTATGCCACATAAAATACACAAAGATGTTCAGTAGCCCCCCAACATCTGTATTTGAGGGCAGAAATGCAAAGCTGGGCCCTGGCCCATGTGTGCAGTCTGGGTACTGGTGGGTGTATATACCCTGTCCTCTGGGAAAGAGCAGGTTGGGGAGATAGTTGTGAGACATGTGCTGCTGCCTGCTCTTTCCTATTTGTTCAGCTCAGGCCAGGGGTTGTCTTGGAAAGAACAAAACAGGCCTGCAGGCTCTAGGTTCAGCAACACTGGATGCAGCTATGCAAGCATCAGATTACAAAGGGATCCTTCTACTATTATTCCATCTTTGAGCTGTCTTCTCCCTCTGAAAGTTAAGGGTGTAATTTCAGTGACAGTGCATCCAGCTCTGCACCCACCTTCTGTGGACTGCATCCTTGCCATGTCTCTGGGGATGCTGACTGTAGGGGAGGCCAGTTATTCAGTCTGGACTGGATCCATTTTTGTGTGCCAGGTATCAGGATGGGCCTGGAAAAGACAGCAAAAGATCTTTGTGGGATGTGGGCAAGCAATAGTCATAAGCAGCTAAAGAAGGAATCCCTTAACCCCAACAGGATCCTCCTCCACAGCTGGGGCACTTTGTGATGAGCAGTTTAGGTACTGGGGGCAGTGTGAGGCTGAGCACTCTGAAGGTTTCTGAACAGTCAAAGCTGACTTGGATCTGGGCTCTGCCTGCATCATACTCACATGGCACAACCAGAGTAAAAGGGCTGTTATGCCCTGCCAAGTCTGGACATAAGAAGGATGGTCCTGTTCTGCTTCAGGTGTTACTGCTTTTGGGTTACCCAGCCCTTCCCCGTGATGCCTGGGTGCAAGAAACAAAGTATTGCCCCTTGTTTGTTCTACCTCCCCACCCTGGACTTAATATTGTTTACTAATCTGCATATCTAATGCAGGAGCCAGAGACCTGATTTCTAGGCCATCAGCCCCCTACCCTGGATGGGGGAAGAAGCACACAACAAATGGAGTCTGGGCCTCTTGGTGCAACCCTAATTGAAAATGCTGTGTCCAGCCCTAGTGGCACCAACAGATAGGAAGAAGAGTCCCAAAATAAACAAGAAATGTTTGGCTGTGCATGGATTAGCAATCACTGTTTAATGATTGGCAAGAGCTTCCTAGTGTTTATTAAAGTCTGGCAAGTTTCTTGTGTGACCAAAAAGAACACAGGATTCAAACACACCACCACTGTTACTTCTGCATAGACTGGAAGACTCTCCACGAATGTCTCCCTACCCACCAGGGTTTTCTGTCATCTGCTTTTACAGGAAAAGTGTTCTGACAGCACTATCTTGTGGACACTATGGGAAATTCATACTGAATGAACCGATTTTAGCATAAATTGCTGACTTTCCTTAAGTATTCTGCAGTCAGTTGTGGACACTAGGTTTTCTAATGGGTGGCTGATGTCAAAAAAGGGTGTTTCACAGGTATGTGGAGAATACAGGGGCCATGAGCAATGCAGCACCATTCAGCCCTGCGTGGGACCTATATTGCTTCTAGGGCCAGCCATAGGAGGTGACAGCAAGCAAGGCCAGAGCAGACTTCACATCTCCCTGTAAATAAAACTTCAAGCCAGCTCCAGTGTCAGTAGCAGGGAGCATCTGAGCAGTACTACCTGCAGGCAGTGACTGCCCCATTCCTGAACTCACCCACCCCTGAGCAGCTTTGTGCTGGAGAGTTAGCACAGCTGGGGTACTCAGCCAGGGAGCACTGCCAGAAAGAGGGGTGAACCCTCTCCAGGAGGAACATCTCCCAGTCCTTTCCTACCCAAAGGAAGCCACGTCTCTAAGGTCCCTTCTGTGGTCCTGTAAATTTTGCTCTAATGTCTCACCCAATGACTTTTATGGCAGCCAGGGTGAGCCCTACAGATGAGAGACCCTGAGAGAAACACCCTGCTGGTCGCCCTGGCTGGTCACAGATAGGTGTGTGCTTGGGGACCGTGGTGAGCTATTGTACCTTTGGCAGTCTCGTCGCAGCAGGTAAACGCTTTCCTCATGGGGGGGGTGGGTCAATAACGAACCAGGACCCGAGCAGCGTGAGAGATGCATGAATGGACAGATATGACACCACCCGGTGACCGATGCACTGAGGAGCAGGAGCAACACCCTCTATCGCTAAAGGCGGTTGTCCCATATTTCATACACCTGTTACAATCACATTTATAGCTCTATTTTTTACCAAAAATAGGGGTAGCTCCACCGAAATGGAGCCTCAAAAAATTATTCGACACTCGTACTTGTTCCTCTCCACGGAAATCTTTAGTAAAAGGCGAAAGATTTATACGATCTGAAGAGAAACCAGAGAATACCCCTCCCTCCCTTCCCGACGCTGCCGCCGCCCGCCCCACGCCCCACACGTCAGGGTGACACGGGCCCGCCCGGCTCTCCCGGTCCCGCAGCCCCGGCCCGGCCCGGCCCCGCGGGGCGCACACACCGGGCGGCACCGACAGCCCGGGCGGGACAGCGGCCGCATCGCCGGACAGCGGCGGGACCGCGGGGCACCCTGGGTATGCAAATCACCGGTAACGGGGAGGTGCCGAGGAGGAGGAGGAGGAGAGGTGTGGGTGAACTCCGTGGGCACCAGCCCCAGTCCTGGAGCAGATCCCTTCTCCCCACGGTTGAATCAGAGGGATCATCTCCTCCTCCGCTCCACAATGCAACTTTGTAACCCGACAATCACTCTCACCACGCCGTACGCGTTTGTGAAGGATATTTAAATAAGCTCTCTCTGTTTTTAACCAAAAATAGGGGCAGCTCCATCGAAATGGAGCCTCAAAAAAGTATTCAACACTCGTACTTGTTCCTCTCCACGGAAATCTTTAGTAAAAGGCGAAAGATTTATATGATCTGAAGAGAAACCAGAGTATATAGATCATAATTCCCGCACATGGACCCCCTCCCTGGCGCTGCCCCAGAGGACACGGCGACCCTCCCTCCCCTCCCCTGTCGCCTCCCCCGGCTCGGCCCCAGCTCCCCGCCCGTTCCACACCCCCGCCGGCCCCAGCCCCGGCCGCGGCTCCGAGGGGCGGCTGTCGGCGGGGCCGGCCCGGCGCTGCCCTCACTGCACCCCGGGTATGCTGATCGCGCCGTGCTGGGGAGGCCGCGCCCGGGGCTACCTGCCCTGCTGCTGGGGCGGGGCGGGCCCGGCGGGGACAGCGAGGGGAAGCGGTCGGGGATGCTGGAGGAGCCCGCCTCCGGTCGCACGGTTTCCTCGGCAGCGCGGCGCAGAGGCTGAAAGTCGGCTCCGGGAGAGGCCGCCGTGCGCCTCTGCCACGGAACGAAGGGAGGGCGGTCGCGGTCGGGCCCAGCGCACGGCGCTGAGCCCCGGGCGGTGACGACCGGGCTCCTCCGGGATCCTCCCGGGTCGCGCCAGCAGCGCCGGAGCGGCGGCCCGGGCGGGGCTGGAGCGCCCGGAACAGCGGGGCAGGTTCCCGGCTGGCCGATTCTCCCGGAGCCCGAACGGCCGGCACGCAGCCGCTGCGCTGCACCGCCCCTGCCCCCCCGGCCGCTCGCCCACGTTCGAATGGGACAAGGGTGATGAGGGGGCCGCCCTGGCCGGGGCACGGGAGCTGCGGAGGGACTGAGTACCGGGGTCAGCGTGAGCACCGGCGCGGAACCGACCCCGCAGCAGAAATCGGTCCTATCACTGGAAAGGGTCAGAACTGTCCCTTCTCTACACTGCAACATCACGAACTGAGCCCGAATCTACTATAGTTTTCTATCACTATTTGATATTCTATTTTTAACCAGAAGAGGGTTAGCTCCACCGAAATGGAGCCTCAAAAAATTATTCGACACTCGTACTTGTTCCTCTCCACGGAAATCTTTAGTAAAAGGCGAAAGATTTATACGATCTGAAGAGAAACCAGAGTATACCGTGAGTCGCCCCCTTGCACATACGTAGTCTCAGCTGCTTCTCTATAGGTCATGGCGACTCTTTGACCCCCGGTTCCACCCTCCGCTTCCCCGGCCCGTTCACCCGGCAGGGACTGGCCCGGCCCCGCACCGGGACCAGCAGCCCTGGAGAGCGGCGGCACCGAAAGGTTTTACCGGGGCTGCGGTACCGGGCGCGGTGCACCCTGGGTATGCAAATGAATGAATACTAATGAGGCGGCGCAGTCCGGCGGGAGGGGAGTCTGGGGATATGTGGTCGGGAGCTCCTGAGCTCGCCCTTCACCCCCGCCACACTTGCCCAGGCCAGCCACGGCCTGCCCCAGAGTGCCCAGGGTGGGTACACAGATCCTGCTTTCCTAATCCAGGTGCACAGAGCGCAGCACGCCCAGCACGGGCTCGTTGAGGGCACAGGGCACCTCTCCCACCATATCCTGGGGAGAAAGGGCAGAGTGACAGGGACAGCCTTCACAGAGTTCTCCAGGCAGTTCTCTTCCAGGCTCCGGGGCTGCTCAGAGCAGCCCCAGTGCCAGGGAGATGCGCACAGCTCCTGTCTGGGCAGGAAGGATTGGCACAGATGTAAACACTTCCCATTTCTCCCCACAAGGCTCAGTACTCACCTGTACGACCCTGAGCATCGGCAGAGCCCGTGCTGGGCCTGTGGAGAGGTACAGAGCCGCACACCTACAGGGTAGACCTGGTTCTGGTACTTGGGATTGTCACGGCCTGAAGAGTCCAGCAGAACCTGTGTGTCTTCTTGACCCTCTGCTTTGTTGGAAGAGGCCAAGAACTTGGCGAGGTCTTGTACCCCTATGCAGACAAAGAGATGCCAACTCATGTGCCTGGAGGAGAATGAGTCACCCATCTCAGCTGTTTCACTGCCGCCCCAAGAGAACCCAGTATCACATCCCACTTGGAGTGTGGCTCAAAGAGCCAGGAAAAAAATTCTCTGCCCTTGTCAGGAGCCACACCATCAACTGGAAAACCAGCTGGCAAAATTCTCAGCTGGTTTAGGTGGCCAAGGAAGGCCCTTCTGCGCGTGTTTACGGAAGCAGAGTCTGGTGCTGGAATGCCAAACAGAGCTGCTAAGGATCCCGCTGCTGATCCTGCTGCTTCGTCTCTCTTGGAGGAAGGTGTGACAGCATGTATCACCCATGGCCTCTGACAACATCCTCCAACTACAGAACTAACAGGGTTTGGCTTCCATTGGCAAGGAGAAAAAAAATGTTGTAATGCTCTTTCAAAGATACGAGCTGCAAAACCCTCCCAGCCCAGAGGGGAACTCTGGGAAAGTTTGCAGTAGGTGAATGCTGCAGGTAAGAATAGAAACTGTTTTGTGGTTTTAACGGGAGGAATTGCAGCCAGCAGGGCAGCAATATTGTGCCGATATGACTGTGAAGAAAGTGAGTTTGTTAAAAAATGAGAGGGGATGAAATGCAGGCACTCAACAACAGCTGAGACTCTGAACTCCTTCCAGCCAGACCAGCGCTGCAGTGATCTGCCATCCGCAGGTGGAGGGGTGGGAGTGGTTCAGCACAGCAAGGAACCCGGGGGTCAGAGGTCAGGGAGAACATCCTTGCCTGAATTAGGGCAATTCCTAAATAGATGGACGCTGCCTACTGCAGCTTTCACAGATGAGCTCCTTATACTCCCTACCAGCATCTGCGGTGAGCAGCAGCAGCTTTACAGACTCCCTTTTGTCCTCTTCTTTCAGGTGGTTCAGCCTCGATATTTCCAGGGGAACCGAGACACTTCCTATCTCCAGAAATTCAGTAAGGTATCTGTGGCTTCAAGGCTAGAGGGAACAAAGCCAGAAGTGTCTCCTGCCTTGGAGCCCATCTTCCTCTGCCAGCAGGCCGTGCTCCTGGGAGCCATCACCTCCTGCCTCGCTGCAGCACGTGGAGGTCTGAACTGGGTACTGTCTCTTGCAGGAGAGCATGGATCTTCCTCTCGCAGGCAGGCAGAGGCAGCACGCTCATCCCAGTGCAAGAAAAACACTAATTCTACGTTCCTCAGAGACAGGTTACCTGGCTTTCCCTTCAGTTTCATCTTTAGATAGCCAGGTTGGTTTTCAAACCTGCAGAACATGGCTGGATAGGAATGTCTCCATGCAGAGCTTATTCTTTAAACTAATTTTTGGTAGAGAACTTGCCCCTCTTCTCCATCTCACTACCACACAGCACCTCCAGCTGTCTGAGGAAACAGATATGCCATCCTGAGCCATGCTGTTAGGTGAGCCAGGAACAAACTCCAGGGAGAACTCCAGCTCCACTCTGGTTCTGCCTTACTTTTAATGAAGCTGTCCAGGACGCAGCTTTGAGCAACTTTGTGGGCACTATCCCATTCATGCAAGAAAACCATGAGCTTCCTGATGGCTTCCTGCTCTTTGACAGAAATCGGGATCTCTTCTGCCTAGAGAAAAATAAGAAAGAAGTTTAAAGAGGGCTGTGAAGATAGAGGAAGGCCGTACTAAGGAATTACTACCAAAATCACATTTAAAATCTCTGGCAAATAATACTAAAGCTCTTACTAACCATTAATTTAATCTCATTTTCCCTTAAGTCATAGATAGGAAAACTGAGGCAAAAGGAGAGTTCCTGGTATGTCTGAAGCTGCACAATGAATCTGTGACAGACTTGAGATTATTTTCCAGGGCTGGTGGTTTCACTACAGGAGCTCTCTTCTCTGCTCTGTTAATAAAGTCATTTTGATGTTTCCCATTACCCCAGCCCTGGTTTCTCACTAGCCTCATGATATGAACACTGCGTCTCATATCTGACCTGCCAGGGAATAAATAGGGTGAAATGAGAGCAGAAATAGGTATGGATTTATGGGGAGTGACAGGGTCAAGGGGGCTATAAATGCCTGTTAGCAAAGCAGTGCAGCCCTCACTCACGTGCTGGAGCGACAGTCATCTGGACTGGGCCCACATCCACCCCAGGAATACGTGCCTGGCCTTGGCAGTGGAAGAGTGCTTTGGCACCCTTTGGCATGACAGACATTTCCTCAGGTTTTTTCCTAATTTCCCAAGCATGTTTTTAAACAATCTAAGAAAAGCTAAAATGCTAAGAGCTATAGGCAAGAAGGCAGAAGCCTCAGAAACATCCTGTGTCAGCACTTCCTTCCATCCCTTCACACAGGTGTTAAATAAAGCAACATCTTGCCAAATTTCTTTGGCACACTTTTGGCTCAGTAAGATAACCCCTATTCCAGCTTGACACATGTGAAGGTGTACTTTGTAGGGAGGTGAAATGTCAGGGATCAAGCTCTCCATTTGCTCAGGTAGGTGGCAATCCCACTGCTGTGTATGTGTTTGGCTGGAGGACACTGACCAGTCCCAAGGAGTTAGACACCAGGATCTGTGTCCACACACAGATACAGAAGGAGGGATAAGGTTGCAAACAGCTGCATTGACACGGGTGCCTTGTCTTCCACCAATCTCTATCAACATGCCTAAGGATAAGAAAGGAGTTCTCACCTTGTCTAATGCACTTCTTGGACTTCCTGCCTAAGAAAAGCACCATTTTAGGTTTTATTTAAGTGTGGTTTAGGATAAAAAAAGTTAGAAAGACACACAATCTTTGGATTTCAGAACAAGAAGTTTCTTTCAATGTAATACAAATCACCAAGATTACCAGTTCCCTAGCTACAAAATTCTTAAGTCCTTTCTCCTAGAATCTGGAGCAAAATTCCAAAGCAGTTCCAGAATATCCCCAAGATACTTGCTCAAAAGTAACTTTTTATTCCTATTTTCGGAGCCAGACTGAAAACAGTGACTAAGAGGTGAACATGTATCTCAGAACCTGAAAACAAACAAACAAACAAAGTCTTTAAGAAACAATGTTTAAGAATTAAGATGAGATGAAATTTCATTTGGGAATTTACGGTCTGTGCTCTGTAAGGAGTCTGTGTCCTTGGCAGGGCGTTTTCAGGACCTCCTTTGAGGGGAAGCAGGTTTAAAATAAATCCATTTTCCCAAAATAGTTGTGATTGAAAATGTTATTAGCCATAACAAATGTTAGTGCTGACAGGAGAATGGCCTGTTAGGGGCCTCGGCTGAAACAGTCAAGTGAAAGTCATATTTCACATTATTGCAAGCATTTTCCTGTGATTTACAGAATATTTGTGAAACATTACTTACAAGGCATATGATTGATATTGAGGGAACAGCTCATGTGTAGGGGGAATCTGTATTTCACAGAGACTGTTTGCATGAAATTTACAGTCCCATAAAGTGCTCCTCTGTCCTCAGCAGAGATCTAGTTAAAAGAACTTTACAGTCTGAAACATCCCAAAATTGATTCTAAATTAATGTTTCTGTATTTATGTTTAAGATGCTGGTGGTGTACTGCTACCCCATTTTTATTATAAAGCTGCAGTAACCCTCCCACTCTTCAGAAATACCAGCACCAGCCTCTGGACGTGAGGGTTTTAGTGATACAAAGGGCTTGCCTATGGATCAATGGGAAAAAAAGAGGAGTTTGAAACAGCAATGACATGGGGCTTCAGAGGATACAGTGGTTACTCTGGCTGCTATAATCACAGCATCTGCTGACACAGTAGTCTTCAAGCCAACATTGCAAAGCACCCTGAAAATGTGCATTAATATTGTTATTATGATCATTTTACATATGGGAACATACAGACATAGGGAAGTTAAACGGCTTGCCTGAGTCGTTTGTCAGTGCTAGCATCAGCACGTAACTCCTGTTTTGTTGGCTTCAAACTCTGCTCTCCACAGTGCTGGGCTGCCACCCAGTCCATTGGACCTAATAATCAAAACAAGGCTGGGTCAGGGCAGGGCTTTATTCCTGCCAAGAAAAACACCAGTGATTTAGGAACTGGCCCTGGCAATTCAGCAGTTCTTTACGTCCAGAGTGCTGCTAAATCATCAGTTTGAGATCAAAAGGCAGGCTGGTGCTGCGTCAGCCTCAGTCCGAGTGCGAGGTGCCAGCGACTGATCACCTTGGACCCGTGGAACGGTAGAGTGGCAGTGATTTGGTGTTGCAACATCGAGGTTGTGCCCAACCTCAAGCAGAACTTAGAGCTTCTGTTTCCCCCGCAGGTTTCACCCTCTCCTGGCACACCTCACCCTCCTCACCACCCTCCTCACGCACAATGCACCTTCCTCAGTGTACCCCACTGTACCCAGCCCCTACCACCCCACAGTCCTGCCGGCCCCTCTCTCACTGTCCGTCCTGCCCCCCAGCCCCACTGCTGATGCAGCCACAGCCCCAAACGCAGCCCAGCATGGCCTCACCCCCCTGCCCTGACCCTGCTTCCATCCCGCCCCTGCCCCGCCTGACCCACGGCAGCCCCAGCATTCCCCGCCCCAGCCCACCATCCCACAGGCCCGATCCAGCCCAACCACAGGCCCTGCGCTCCCTCACACCCCAAACCCCACCTCGGGCCCTCACACGCTCCCTGACGCCCGTGCCCAGCCCCTGCGTCGCCCCTCCTGACCCAAACACCCAGCTCAGGCCCACAGCGCCGCTCAGCCCCTACACTCTATTCCCAGCCCCCCTGAGTGTGATCCCCACTCCAGGCCCAACCATTCCCCCCATCCCGGCCCCGCAGCCCCTCACTGCCCCAGATCCCGGGGGGCGGTTACCTCGCACAATAACTGACAGCAGGCAGCACCAATCGCCGCCCTTCTTTCTGGCCCGCGGCCCAATGGGCGCTCAGCGGGCGGGGCGCCGGGCTCGGCGCTAAGGGCGCGTTGCTAAGGAAGTGGGGGGCGGGGCTGGGGCAAGGCCAGCGGGGAGGCGGGGCGGGCGCTTCCCCTTCCCATTGGCTGCGGAGAGGGGATGGGCGGGGCTTCCGGCGGGGAGGGCGGAAGCGGCGGCGGGGGCGCGGCGAGCGCGACCATGGGCGCCCATGGGCTGGAGGCGGCCGTGGTGGAGCTGCAGCCGGGACCGGGACCGGGACAGGACCAGGACCGCGGTGCGGGCGAGCGGGACCGGGACACCAGGGACAGCAGGGCCTGGGGGAACCCTGGGGGGCGCGGGCTTGGGGGGACCCCTGCGGGGGGATGCCGTGGCAGGTGTGTGGCAGTGAGGGCAGGGCAGGACGCTTCGCTTTCCCCCTTGGAACAGCGGGGCACGACAGCCCGTGATGCCCCCGGGAGGAGGGCTTTCGCCCCCCCGTAGGGATCTGCTCGGCGCTGGCTGTGCGTCACTGGAGAGCGGTGGGAGCTGCGGGCGCTGGAGCGGCGCTGTCCTGCCGGGCAGGGCCCCGCGGCGACACCGGGCTGAGGCCGCTCGCGGCCAGCGGGCAGATCGAGCTAATGCCTGCTCCCACATTGCATTTAAACTGTATTGACCAAGCAGTTTGCCGGGAGTGCCGGCTCGGGCAGACTGGAGGGGCGTTATGTTAAAACTTGTGTTTAGTTTCAGAAAGCAGCGCGGAGAAAGGGCACGCAGAGCGCCAGCCTGTGGTGATCCTGCTGGGCTGGGCGGGCTGCCAGGACAAATACCTGGCCAAATACAGCGCAATCTACAGCCAGAAGGTGAGTAACTTGTCTGTGTTTTTATGGCACTGCCTCTTTTCTGCATGTTGGTAAAGTCGCTCTGAAGCCTCTCTCGATCTGCAGAGTCATGGGGAGGGAGTGGCGAGTTCTCCTGTCGTTGAAAGCTCCTTATCTCCTGGAGCCCAGGCAGTGTTATCTAACAGCTGCTGATGTCGCCTTCCAGTGTGCAACTGAGACAAAAATACTTCCTTGGAGAAACTTTCAGCTGCTCTGTGAATCTCTGAAGTATTTTAAGGCTTTTAAAGTTGTGGGATTATTCAGGAATGATGTGAACTGTGTTAGTTTTCCAGGCAGGTAAACATGCAGGGAAAGATCCTGCATTTACTGCTTGCTGTTAGGCCACAGCAAGGCTGGGCACTGACAGAGCACATTGGCATCTGTCACCCCTTTGGCTCTTCCTTCCTGTGAAAATGATTCATGTAAATGTTGTAATCTAAATTAATTTTATCCTGCCTCTGTAACAGGCATCCTGTGATAGTCATAGCTTCTCACTGCGAACTCCTGGTGTTTGAACTAGGGAGGTCCATCCTACTGCCAATTCCCTAAGTTTTGATATTTTCCTTTCTAATGCTGTATTTTACTGGAATGACCTCAGCTGGTAGTGTGAGGACCCAGTGAAACACTAGATTTTTTTTTTTCCTTGATCAGCATACAAGGAATCCTGTATCTGTCTGAGTCTGTTTCAGCTATAGGTGGTAAAGTTTGTACATAAACAAGTCTGTTGTTGATGTGTGGAGTGCAGGAGTCATTAATTGGCTCAATCTAGTGAAGAGTTAATTGTTAAGTGGCTGCTATGACTAAGAGATGCTGCAGAGAAGATGAGGAGTACATTACAGGGCAGCGTGACAACTTCTTGGAAAATAACTTCCTATCAGAAAGGTCATAGAAAGGAGAGAAAGGGTTTTCGTAGCTCCCTAAGAGGTAATGACAGTAACCATGGCAAGATGGTTGAGAAGACTTTGATTTAAGAACTTGGTATTCTCCTCTTCCTTCTGCACTGCTTAGGAAGCTCTGGGAGGTAGGGCTGTCAGGGTGGCTTCACCTTGTGTTTGTCAGTGTGTAATGTCAGTGAGCTTAGGTGACAGAAAAGATCTAAAGCATTTATAGATGTGGTTCCATCTGTTCTGTTTAGAAAATCCTCCATGATCCTGTTTGCTGTGCAAGGCTTCAAGTGTAAAGGCAGCTGCTCAGGAGTTCTGAGTCTCTGAGCCAGAGCTCTTCTTTTGCACAGCTGGAACGTTTCAGGAAGGTTTACAAAAATCCTGTCAGTGGTGGCTGTGGGTGAGTCTCAGACAGCTGCAGACAAGTGCTACCCAAGGAGAGGACGAAATTCCTCCTCCTTCTTGTATTTGTTTCAATGTCATGAGCTGGATGTGCACCACATTCTTACCAAAATGGCTGATACTGAAGGTCTGTGAATCAGAGAGATGGTTTTCTCCTCCTGAGTGAGGACTAACACTCATGTAAGTGGGTGGCAGTGTCCCCAGGGGCTGTGCCATTAGTGCAAGATTTGAAAGGATCTCAGACATCAGCAAAGCCAGGCTTCTGCCCCCGCAGAGACTTTTCATAACAGTGTTATGATTATGTAATGTTGTGATTAATGTAATCCTGTTCGTATCAGTGCCTTGCTGCTGACTCTAAAGACTTTCTTCTGGCCCTGTGGTTTCTGTTGGAAACCTGTCCCAAATTTTTGCATTCTTTGTACTGATGCTTGCCTACATCATGTAATTTACAGCACAGCCTAAATGTGTTTGGTGTCTCTTTCTGTTCTTCTTAGGGGTGCACTGTCATCCGCTACACGGCTCCATGGAGGATGATATTCTTCTCTGAGAGCTTTGGCATCAAATCGCTCCAGACCCCAGCCAGGCGACTCCTGGAGCTACTCTTTCACTACAGGGTTGAAGACAGACCGGTTCTTTTCCATGTTTTCAGCAATGGTGGTGTCATGCTGTACCGTTACATCATCGAGGCACTTCGCACCCACAAGTCGTTCCAGAACCTCAGAGTAGCAGGCACCATTTTCGACAGCAGCCCTGGCAGAAGAAACTTGGTAGGAGCCCTTCGAGCCCTGGCAATCGTCTTGGTCTCCGTGAACGTGCTGCTCAAGTATTTCCTCCTGCTCACCTTTGCCACTGGAGCCGTCGTGCTGAGGGTGCTGCTGTACCCCCTGACCCGCTTCGTCCATGAGAGCCACTACGACGCCCTGCTGAAGGCGCCCTCGCGCTGGCCCGAGCTGTACCTCTACTCCCAGGCCGATGCCATCATCAAGGCCAGCGAGGTGAAGCACATGGCTGACACCAGGCAGCAGCTCGGTGTCCCCGTGAAAGCCGTGGACTTCTCGGACTCGCCCCACGTCAGCCACATGCGGGTGTATCCCACCTACTACAGCAGCCTCTGCCTGACCTTCCTGTCTGACTGTGTGCAGGGCTCACCTCCCTAGCGCTGCAGTGACCTTCAGTGCTTGCTTTGCTCAGCTTGTAAGGGAAATTGTCACCCCCTTTACCTTTGTGTCTTTGAAGGGAGGAAAGTAGAGACTTCTTGTTTGGTTTGGTTCGGTTCTGTTCTTTTCCCCCCCGCTGTCTACAAGTCTGGAAGCCTCCAGCCTGGTCTTTGGACCGGCCACATTATAGCAGAAAGTAGATATGGATTAATTTATAGTACTGAAGGTGAAATCCTGTCATGGTTCATGTTGATGTACTTTACCAAGGTGTCACAGACCAGAATTTCACACTGTTATTTGTCTCTTCCTGTCTCTTCTTGTTCTCTGCTTTCCGTGTTGTCTCCTTGTCCCTGATGTCCAATGTGCATGTTCTATGGCTTGTACTGATTTAACAATACAGCTCTTTCATGTCTTTGTTGTTTGTTCTTTTTTCTCTCTGCCATTTCTTTTAATTGCAGTGAGCAAAGAGAACCAAGCCTGCAGGATTTTTTGCTCCACTCAGTGCATCCCGACTGTTGTTGTGCTCCTTGATGGAGATCAGGCCCAGAAACCAAGTGTAAGATCTGGAAAAGGTGTGTGCAGGGCATTATGAGCAGCCTGTCACCTGGTTTCATTAAATAGCTGAGATAGAACAGTCAAAGCTCTGATCCTGGGTGGGAGCTTAAATGTTTGTTTTAACTTTTGTGTTCTTCAACCCAAAGGTTTAACTTAACGTTCTTGAATGTGTCTTGTGTTTTGTTTCTCTTTCTTCCAGTCTTTTGTGTGTTCCACTGAGTAGTTTTGCTTTCTTGGAGAACTGCTTCTTTGTTATTGAGTGTCTTTGAGCAGCCTGTATTGTGCATCTGAATATGCAGGGAAACTTTTGGGTTACAGCTGTGCCAGACCTCTGAAATAGAAAGGTGGAACTGCAGAGGAAAATGAACTGTTTCTTGGAGATATGATTTATTCTATTTGGATGATCAATCTTTGCAGTCCGTGCAGTGTGTAGAAGAAATTAATTCCTTCCACCTAGTGGAAAAGTGGCTCGTTGCACTGAAATTCAGCCATGTTTGGTTTTAGGGTTTGTTGTTTATTTGGGGGAGAAGTGGGGATAAAGACAGAGGAGAGCCTGCTAATATGTTTATGCTATGTCACAAGCAAGTTAATAACATGGTGAACAGAATTAGCCAACTTTAAATTGCCAGGAGGAGGCTCTGGAGGGCTGTGACATGGGCCTGTTTGAACAAGGAGCTGCCCTCGAGAGGTTGGCATGTAAAAGACACGAGGGTTTTTACTGGTGGTTGCTGCTTGTGGGATGCAGTGCTGGTCTTGCCCACCCTTGGGGTGCTGTCATCCACAATTACAAAACACTTGCTGTTCTGGATCCAAACACAGAGGGGGAGGTTCCCTGGGAGGCACTACAATAATTTGGAAGTTTAAAACAAGAACTGTAACACCTCACAGAAGCACAGGGTGAGTGGCCAGTGGTGACCAGCACAGCTGTTTTTGGCAGACTAGTGTGGCAACCCTCATTTACAGCAGAATAACCCCATGTTGGGCGTGGTTTTAGAGAGAGGACTGGGGTATATAAAATAGGTGAAAATTAACTGAGAAGGGGCTGATGGCCTGATTTGTCTTTGATTTTTTTTTTTTTTTAAAGTGAAAGCTGTCTCCAGGCACAGGAGCCCTTGTTGCTTGCGATCCCATCTTCCTTAGGTGTGATCCCAGTTTCAGCTTCCACTGTGACGATGGACTGTGAGGGCTACACTGTGTAAGAACCTTCAGCCTTCCCCTTTTCATGGAGAAATTCTTGTTCCTAGGATTTGGACCTGTAAAGTCCAGGCATAGTCCCCTATCCCCAGAAAGCCCATCAGCAATCTCCACCTTTTTAAAGCAGGCCCCTGTGGAACTGTGGAACTGTGAACACTCTTAGGGAGCAGAGGTGATAAAGGCTATTTAACTGGCACTTGCCCTCACGCTGGTTTCTATGGGTTTGGTATTTACAGAACAGTTAAACACTCCATAATATGCACCTCTGAATTAATATGTTTGTTCCTGGGAATCTGCTGTTCCTGTTTATTGCCATGGGTGTTGTTGAACTTCTCCTATTTAAGGACTTGGGCTGCTGCAGAACGTGGCTGGCAGGAGCTGGAGGTAAACCCTCTGACCCTGCGTGACAGGGTGGCAAAGCTTCCTCTGGGGAGAGCCTCACATGTCAGCTACACCTTCCACCCCCACCTTCACCTCCCCACCATGGGATTGCCACTTCCCCAGCTCAGTCCAGCTCTGCCCTACTTCCCCCACTTTCCAGGGCAGCAAGCAGGGAGTGGGTGCTGCCTGATGGAGCTCCACAGCCAGAGTTGCCCTGGGTTTTGCAAACAGGAACCTGTTCACAGGCCTTTCCACTGCTGCAAAAGTGACCCGAAATTCGGGGGTAATTTGTGTACACACCTTCTGTGGGAGCAGGATGGTCTCAGGCAAGTCAGTGATTTACAGCACCAGCATTCCAGGTGGGTCCTGTTTTCTGAGTCCCAGCAAAAGTTTTAATTCCAAATGTGAGCAGTGTGTGACATGCACTGTGTGATACGTTGCCCTCTACTTTCCTGTGCTGCGTGTGCCCCCACCTTCCTGCCCTCTGTATGCCTGTGGCTTGTTATTTGAAACAGAAGGTTAATAACTTGGAGCCCGAAGGCACACGGCCGAGAACTGATCCAAGCGCTACTGGATTTACAAAAACCCAGCCTCAGACCCTTAATCCTTGCTAAACTGTCACGGTTTGGTGCAGCCGGTGCTCCTAAAGAGCTTCAGCCTCAGCACTGAAAGCCCAAAGGTTGTGATATCTTGGCAAATCCAGGTAAATCTCTGAGACGAGCTATGGGAAGGAGGGTTACTGCAGATCTGTTCTTTGGGAGGAAAAATGCAGCATCCCTGGGCTTGCCTCGTGGGTAGGGAGTGGGATGTGGCCCGGAGCTTTTTTCCCTGCAGCCCAGCCCTCCTGTGGAGACCATGAAGCAGTGTGGGTGAAACACCAGCAGCGGTGGGAGACAAGGATGCCCAGGGCCTGGCTGCCACTGCTGTGGAAAAACAAAACTAACTTTCCCTCAGCAACAAAATCAATGTGAGAGTGTTTTCTGTGAGAGAGCTGGCTCCTGGCTCGCTCCCCTGTGCTGCCTTCTCTCCCCAGGCAGTGGTGATGTTACAGGAAGGTTTTGAAAAAGAAAAAAAGCCACTTAGTGGTCATGTGTCCAGGCTGGAGGGTGCTCAGCTGCTGCTCACAGGGGTGGGAAGGTGCCTGTGCAGCCAGGGTGCCCCAGGGCGCTGGGAGGGGCTGTGATGGGGAACTGGGCAGGCCAGGGACAGGATCCAGCCCAGCCAGGGGGCAGATTTTGTAGTTGGGGGGAGCATCTTGCAGCACAAGTAATTCAAACCAGGCCCCTGGGTGAAGGCAGACCTGTGCCCACACCTCACAGAGATGTTCTTTGAAAAGTGTGTGGGCTGAGGTCCCATCTTGGCGCATGTTGGGATCTTCCAGGATTATGGGTGAAGCTCTGCCAGTGATGGCAACGGGTGAACGGCCTGAGAGGGAACCAAACAACCCAACCCCGTGTGCATCTTCCTAGAAGGAGAAGGAGGGAGGTGTGAGGCTGGTCTCCATCACCTGTGGAGGAGCTGGCAGAGGGTGGCTGTGCCGACCTCCGTGGGAGCTCCGTGCCGGGTGGGAACAGCCTCCACGAGGTGGCAGCAGGCCCCCTCTTTCCTGCGTGGAGGGATTTCTAGTCCAGGAGACAGCGGAGAAGATCCCAACAAGAGGACCCCAACATGGCTCAGCCCAGCGCTTCTGTGTGCCTGAGAGCGTCTCCTGCGAAAAGTTTCCTCTTGGGGCAAGGGAGAAAGACCAGCAGGAACTAACTCCAACAACAATAAGCAGAGATCATGAGTTAATACAGGACAGCGTCTATCCCTAGAGCTGCCTGAGATTTGTACTAGATCCTATTTCTCAGTTTTAACTGAACGTTGAAACAAACAGTCTAACAGCAAAAACAGCTTTACTGCCCTTCCCACCCTGGCAGGTCAGGTCACACCATTTCCCTTTTCATCACCCAGGGAAGGCTATCTGTGTTTTAAGTGACTCTGTAATACTGTGATTAGCAGACCATGGCCCAGCTCTGGAAACTCCACATATTGTGACTGTGGCACTCCCGTGGGATCCCTGTAGTCCCCAAGCCCTGGGGAAGATGATCTTAGTCCTGCTTTTCTGAAAAGGCTGGCAGGACTCCCCAGTACACAGGGCTGGGGACTTAGGGGGCAGTTAGGAAACAGGAGAGCACAAATGGGGGCCACAGCCACTACCTGAGCAGCCCCTCTGCCAAGCCCCCTTCTCCAGCTCACCATACACACAGCTCCTGCTCTCAGGCAAGGGAGGCAGGGGCTCACCGTCCAGGTGCTTGCTCTGCCTGCCTGACATCAACTTCCCTTTGAACTTGACTCCCCATCCCCTCATTTCTGCCTCCTCACATGGCTGCAAGCCCACCCCAGCACCACCAGCCAGGGACAAGTTGGGTGGGCAGAGGTGTGCAAGGCTTCTTTCAGTCACCCTCCCAAACCCTTGGGGGCTGGGGCAGGGAGAGCTTGGGCAGCCCCTGCCAAGTGATGAATGAGCTGACAATAGCGTATTGATAAGGAATTAACCTTGAGCCCTTCTTGCTTCAGTGTCAATAGAGCAGGAGCCAAGTACACACGTTTGATTGGAAATCTGTGTTTGGCCTCTGTGCCCATTGACGTCCTGGGAAGATGAGAGGGGGATGTGAACTGCCCTGCTGCCCCCTCCCCAGCTGGGACCCTCCAGTGGGTCCCCCTCAGCTTCCCCAACCCGCTGCTGCTGGAGTTGGCCATGGGGACCCAGCTCTAAGGGGCTGCAGCAGCCTCTGTGCCCCTGACCTGGCATGTGGGGGGCTGGGTACTAGGGCCCCCCTTGTTCCCCAAAGGGCCTGTGCCCATCCTGCACTGGCCTACACTCCGAGCAGTTTGTTTAATTAAGTGTTTTGCCTAATGGGATTGCCTCATTTCCATAACAAACTGGCGGGCTGTCATTAGGTGGGCTCCCTCATTCATTACTGTTAATTAGATATGGATCCCCCAGAAGGCGGCGCGGGGTGATGAACGAGGCCCCTGACACACGCTATTACACATTAGCATTTTCTCAATGTATCCGATACATCACGGGCCTCCGCTTCCTAAAGATATTTTAAATAAAATATTAGCAGCCTGCTGCGGGGTGGGTGGAGAGCCCCTCACCCTGGCCTCAGGCTTCCTTTGGGCCGAAAGCAGATTGGAGAGTGGCTGAGATGCTCTGCTGCTCCTCGCCAGCCAAAAAAGCAGCTAAATTCCACCCCCCCACCTTTCCCTACCCTTGCCCCAGCAGATGGAAAGAGGTCTCTGAAATCCCCACTGCCTCCTCCCACCATCCTGGGGTGGCAGCCGTGGGGAGGGGGGGTTGGAAACACCCCATCGACCCATCTGCAAAATGTTTGTAAACCGAAAGCGTCGGCGCCAGCCGCGTGCAGGGGGGAACCACCCGACCTCTGCCCCCCCGGCCCCATCCCTGTGCCAGGGGTAACCCTACACTGCACTGGGGGCCCCTAATGCAGGATGTATGGATCTGTTGGGGCTGGGCGCCTCCTGCCCCCAGCTAATGCAGCCGAGGAGACTTCATTATGGGGGTGTCCCCCGAGGGGTGCCCTTCGCCCTGCCCTCCTGGCTCTACGAGGGGAGACCAGTTGGGGCAACCCATCCATGGTGGGGTCTGGTGAGTGTCCCAGCATCCCCCTGCATCTGTCCCTGCATCACCGACAGGACCAGGACTCCCCTTTGGGACATTACCCACATCCAGGGGCTGTGGCATGAGGTGGGGGGTGTCTCCTCCGCTGCCTCTCGCCTGCAAAGGGAAACACAGAGAGGCGGAAAAAGCCTGAGAAGATTTATACTTGTTTAATTAATGTCAAATGTAGTTTACAAACGGGAGTGACAAGTACCTCTTTGTATAATATACACTGACACACAATCATCGACACACCGGAATATCGCTTTGTGCAACTGGGATTCTTTGGGCAAAGATAGGTAACTCTGATATTTCAGGTTTTTTTTTCTTTTTCTTTTTAAATCATTTAAACTCATTACAGAAGAGGGGAAGTGGCAGATGCCTGTTACAAACCAGGGTGCCTCTCTCCCCAGCCTTCCCCCAGCAGCTCCCCCCCTTGAAAACAGGGGATGGCTTTACAATTTAAACAAAAAAAAAATAAACAAAAAATAACCCCCAAAACAAAGAACCAATGACTAGTTACATATGGTTTTACACATACGTACATAGAGCACACGGCTGGTCCACAACACCTGCCAGAAATTCTGGCTCCCTCCCAGGGCCTATTTCCAAGGAAGGGCTGGTTTGGGGTGTCCTGCCCTGTCCTGCCTTCCTGTCTGTCTCTCAAACCCACCTGCTGCACCCTGTCCAAATCTGAGACCTCAGCACCAGCACACTCCCAGCTCAGCCACATCCCCCCCAGGTTTTTCTCCCTTCACAAATCCAGCCCGAGCTGTGTGTGCCTGTCCTTCCCCTGCCCAAGTGCTGCTGGGTGCAGGGTCACCCAACAGTGACAGCCCCCTGGGCAGGTCCTGCCTGCAGTCTCCTCGTGGGGTCAGGACCCTCCAGGGTCCCTCAGCTTCCTCTGGTCCCTGGGAGCTCTGCAGGTACATGTCCCTGAGCACAGGAGGCTGCAGCTCTCTGGTTTCAGAGGCCACACACTGCTATGAGCTTGGAGACCCGGGAAACTCCCAATTAGGAATTGTCACCTTTTGATGAGATGCTTATCAAATAACAGCTCCTTCAATTTGGTTTGGTTTTTTTTTTTTTGGATGCAGTGGGATCCTTCTGAATTCACTCAGGAGATGCCAAGGCCAGCAGCTGTTCTCTGCAAAGCAGCACCAAGCTCAGAGCAGGGAACACATCCTGCCCTCCACATCCTGCCTCCCCAGCCTTTCCCTCTCTGGAAATACCCCAGTGGCCCAGTTCCAAACCCCTCATCCACCACTGTTCCCAGACTGTCTTAAAATGCCCCAGCCACGTTTTGCTGCCAGGTGGGATCTGCTTGGAAAGACCCCTCAGGAGCAGGGGAGATGAGCTTCCCCATCTCCCTGTCTTCTGGCTGCAGGGAGCTAGGGCAGGGATGCACAGCGTGGAGCTGGGAGAATTCAGAACACGAGGTCTTGGGAAATGGGTCGTTATCTGTTTCTTGGGTCCTGACAATAAAAGAAACAAAACCAAAAAACCAGGCCAGATGGCAGCTTTGGTTAAGGTTGAGGATATGGGAGACAAGGACAAGCATGAGAGACTGCGTGGAAGAAGCTGGGGCTGTGGGGGACCTCTGGATTCAGCTGGAAATGTCTCTGCTGGACACTCTGGGGGGTGGTGGTGTGGATGAGACAGGGCTGGCTTAGCTCTCTACCCTAGTGCCAAAACCTCTTGGGCAAAAAGCAGGCTGTAGGAGGGTGGGAGCTGCGGGATGTGGGTGCAGGGCAGGGCTGGCTCTGCAGGGTTTGCACAGCTCTGCTGGGCAGCACCGGGCCTGCTGCAGCCACACCCGTGAGGGAACCGGCCCAGCTCTCTGGGCAAAGCCACGAGCACAACCACTCTGTACCCTGCCATCCCCACCTCCCCACCGTCCTGAGCAGCCCAGGCATCCTCAGCCAGCAAATGCTGCCTGGAGGAGAGGAAAGCAAAGCCGGGCAGGGGAGGGGAAGGTGCTACAGCCTTGGAGGAGGCAGAGGGGATCAGCAGGACCCCTCGAGCAGGTACTCCCAGCCCGAGGAGAAGGCAGGGCTCCAGCTGACTCCCTCCTTCCAGCTCCACACCGTTTGCCCCTTCCCCAGCTGGAAAAGGCAAAGGGGCTGAGCCAGATTCCTCCATCCTGCCCGGCCCCCCGGTGAGGAGTTAAAAGCTGTGTCTTTCCGGGGATAACGATTCTATTATAAATAGCCCCATTAGCTACAACTAATGACAAAAATCCACCTCCTCTACTCCCCATAAGTTCTGTAAGTTATGGGCAATGCTACAGCCATTACTAAAAGCTGTTAACTTCATATCTGAATGAGGAAATATACACCACAGAACATTAAACCATTTATATTATATATATGTATATATATACTTTTTTTAAACTAATGACTTTAATGCCAAAACTTTGCTGAACCAAGAAAAATATGGGTTTAATGTTCTCTGCTCATTTTTTTTCTTCTTTAAAAAAAATACAACCCAAAGAAAAGAAAGGGAAACTTATTAGTATGTAATGTTTGAGTCTATCCCATTTATACACAACATTGTAAACATATATAATCTATATTACATGTGCTTCATTTCTGCCTGTGTGTGTTTTTTTTTTCTTTAAACCTTTTTGTTATCACTAGAACACCACAAAAAACCAAAACAGAACCAAACCAAAACCCAAACCAAAACAAATAAAAACAAAACAAAACAAAACTGAACAAAGAACACAAGTTACAGGTTATTTAACATCTTTCTGTCAAGGGTCCCTTCCCCAGTCTCCTGGGGGCAGAGTGGTCAACAACACAGTCCAAAGGACGGCTCACGAGCCATCCACAATGCAAAGCCAGCTCCAGGGAATGGGTGATGGGGAACACTGGTTTTAAAAAAGGGGGCTTCACAACAAAGGGTTTGGTTTTGCCCGCTGCAGATGCTGAAGGAGGTCTCAACTTGCGGGACCTGGCAGCCGAGGCTCCCCACTGCTCCTGTATCCTCGAGTCCATGTCTGGAGTCTCTGGTTTGTTTTTTGATTTTTTTTTTTCTTTAAATTTTAAAACGTCTTTTTTTTGTTGCGGTCGTTCTTCTCCCCCTGGGTGTGATGAGCTGGGTCCCGCCCCACCGCCGGGTCCTTCATAAGTAGATGCGCCGAAGGTCTCCGGGAGACGTGATGGTGTTGCACTGGGGACAGAGCTTCTTGGCACCCTGCAAGCAGCAGATGAAGACAAAAAGTGTGAGAGCACGAAGGACAACCCACACGGCCCTGCCCTGGGCCTGCAACCTCACAGGAGCAGCAGCGTCACCCCCCTTCCCCTCCAGCGAGGGCTGTCCCCTCCCAACAGTGGGCACAAGCTGTGAGAAGGGGGAGCCCCAACCAGCGACTTTCTTGCCTGCCCTGAAAGCCCCTTATCCTGTTCTAGTCCCCAGCATGAGGCTGCTGGGCAAGCAGGAGCTCTGGGGGGGCTGAAACCCAGAGCCAATGTGTGTCACCAAACTTGGCACCACTGGCTGCCAGGGAGATCTGCTCCTTTCTGTTTCTCTCACTCACCTGCAGCCCTCGATGAGCCAGTTCAGGTGCCTGAACAGGTAGAAAATCAACCCAGCTGGAACAAGTTAAGTTTTCAGCAGGTTCTCATGCCTGAGCTGGTTCATGGTGGGCTTGGACCATCCCTTTCAGGGCAGCACGATGGGGCACTGCCTTGGCCATCCTGCAAAAGCCCACGAGCTGCTGGCACGAAGGAAACCCTGGTCCTGTCCCCCCAGCTCACACAGATGCTGCAGAGATGAGTCTCTTCTGCCAAGGTGAGCTGAAACCAGCAAACTGTGATGTGAGCTGGGGTGGGGTAATGGGTGGCCGACATGAACGCTACATGAAACAAAACAAGGGCTGATGTGCCATCTATTACAGAGCCTGACAGCAAGAGGTGTTAACAAGCCTCAGAATCGGGGTCAACCTAAGCCAGTCATCATTAGATTGGCAGATGTGACAGACAACTGATGGGAAAAATGACAGAAAGATGGCTCTGCTGTGAGGCAGCCTCCCATCTACAGCACTAGCAGCACAGGAAATTGGGATGCCCTCCCTGAGCAGAGCTTCTTGCAGTGCCTGCAGCAGTGAGTGCAGCACCAGGGCAGGGCACTGCTTCGGTACTGCTACCTGCACTTGGGTACATCCCTAGCAGAGGAGGTGGCATTGCTGCTTACAAAAGGCAAGCACCCTTAGAACAGGCCCTCTCTGCCCTGTGACAACAACTGCAGAGGCAGGACAGGGGCCTTTTCCCCTGGAAGTTCTTTAGGCTAAGGAGAATCTAGAGGAGAAAGTCCCAGGTACAGAAAATTTATATGAGTGCAAGTAATTTACAAGGGTGCACCTCCAAAGAGGTGTAAGTCATGTTTTCTCTGCAGTACTGAGTACTACTGCAGACTAGTTTGGAACCAGCCCCCTCCCTGCTCCCAGTGCATGTTATTCCTGGCAGACATGGACTTCACACACTTGCTATTCCCTGAGCTTTGGACTTCTGAACAATCAGGCTGCCATTTGACAGCCCTTGCTGATAGTGGCTCAACAGCTGCCCTGATACACGAGGGGACCATGGGCCTTTGCACCTGAGATTTGAACCAGCCACACACAAAGTCTTGTTGAGCTAGAGTTGAATGAAACACATGATGGACACTCGAAACACCTTAGGAATCACTCTCAGGGTGAGTGACAGACTGGCAGTGGGACGGACCATTGGTGGTCTGGATGTTGCCCCTAACTCTGATGCTGATTCCTGTGGGCACATCCTTTTAGTTATCTGGGACAACTACTGTGTCTGTTTAGATTTTCAGCCTTCTGGGGCAGGGACCATCCCACTGTGCCCGCACAGAAAGGACAAGCTCTAACCCTGCATATCCTCATAAAAACTTGCTGCAGTGCCAACAATACGAAGGAGAGAAAAATGTAAACATCTACCCTTTCTGACACTGTGGGTCAGGATACACAGCAGCACCCCCATGGAGGGGCTCACTAATCTGGATGCAAATGTCACAAAATAGCCCATTTCAACTGAGTCCCTGCTCAGTTCCATGCAGTTCCCTGGTCCTTCATCAAGGCACCTGGTTGCCCTCTTGGCATCATCTTTGTAGCCGGAGGGTCCCAAAGGAAGTGGCAGGGAGGTGTTGAGGAATTAATTCACAGCATGTTGTTAACCATTCCAGATGGAACTACTGGCCACATCTGTGTCCATGCTCTCTTTCCTGAGACAGGCACAGCTTACACACAAAAGGCAGCAAAGCATCCAACCAAGCAGCTGGAGCTCCTGCCTCCCTGGAAAGTGGACCAGGATACAATGTACCTTCTGCAGGACCAGTGCTCTGACCCATCGAACACCTCAGCCTGCCTTCAGTCTGGCGCAAAGGATGGACAGTGCTTGCTGCCACCTCAGACCATGGCCCCTGCTCCTCAGTGCCCTTGTGCAATGCTCAACAGGACTTCAGCTGCTCTTTCAGCTCCACGGAAGTCAGAGACATTTGCCTGCAGGTGGGTGGGGAGGAGCACTGAACCTCCTTGAGTTTGCTTCTGCTAAAAGCCAACCTCAGCTGCTGCCACCTCACTCTCCTGCACCTGGTGCTCCATTCTGGGATGTGAAGCTGCACTGAGACAGTTGAGGGCAGCTGTGTGTGACTCTTAGCAAAGGCAACCTCCCTAACACAGACTAGACAGCTCACTGCAGGAAAATTTGGAAGTTTGGGTTCCTGGAAAGCCACTCTGACCAGGTCTGCAGCAGCCCTCCACCATCAGTCCACAGGGATGGCAGAACAAGCCTGATTCAACCCACTGCAGCTTTGCTGCTCTCTTCCATGGCAAAGCAAGGTCAGGTATGTAGTTCCTTTATACCACAGGGAAAGGGAAGATGGGTGGATTTATCTTGGAATATCCTGGGATCTCTGACCCTGAGATCTATTTTCTGTACCACATGCTGATGGCTTGATCCACTCTCCCACCTGAGGCTGAGCTGCACACGGGCACCTCAAGTTTCTTCAACCACGCCACAAAGCACAACCCAAACACATGGAGCTTGACCTATTTTCTGCAAAAGCTACGTGATCACAGACTGATTTAGGGCAGTGGTGGACGTTGCTTCACCTGCACATGAGGAGTGGAGCTCATGCTGGAGCTCTGAAGCCTGGGTACGTTGGAGGGAACAACAGCAAGCTGGAGACCTTCAGCAGCCTGGCCTGAGTGCTGCACAGGCTGCACATGGCATGCTGGGCTCAGGGCCTCTCTAGTACTTATGCTTGGTATTAACAGTTCAGGCAAAAATAATTACTTTGGACCCTTGGGGATGCATTTTTCTTTCTTTTTATGAAATAAAACCGTCCTCCTCTGCACACATAAAGCACGTGTGTTAAATTCAGAACTAAGTCCTGATCTTTTTTCTTTTCAGATTGAAATTGCTCAGAACCTTGTTCCTTACATCTGACTTCAGGAGTAGGTGTACAACGTTTATCAGCACCAGAGTTTAGGCTCTCCTCTCTTGTGGAGAAGCACATAAGCTTGTACACACACACATGCTGGCACAGGCACAATGAAAAAGCGTTTGCTCCCCCACTGCTCACCTGCCAGCTGGGGTTACTAAACTTTTCCCTTGAAATAAAAATGCTGTGGAATAATAAGTCCCACCTGTCGGCCATTTCTTTCTTTCTTTTTTTCCAGGTCCTTCTGCTCCTTTCATCATAGCTACATGGAAAAGCCTTGATGTGTTATAGCTGTGTGTGCTAGAGTAAAGGCCACCTCAGCTTTTCCATTATAAACCCCAGTTTTGAGGGGTTTATAAAACTCTGCTGCAAGAAGTTTGCTCCAGGGCTGTTACAAAGCAAAGAAATGGTGCTGGAACCAGGATGGAGTTTATTTTTTCTCCTCCTTTCTTAATTAAAATTTGGCAAGTGATTGATCCACAATACAGGCTAATCACTTGGGGTAGTAGTTTGAAAAATACATTAACGAGAGTTGAGATGTTGAAAAGTCGTTAGGGCTTACATGGTGCCAGGAAGGATTGGAGGAGTTTGTCTTAAAGTTGCCTCTTAAAAAAAAATGGTGTGACGTCTGCTATAAATTGGCTAAAGCAGGGAAACTCAAAAGGAAGGATTTTAGGCAGTTCCTGCTGTCCTGTGGGTCTAAAAATGGGCAATTTCCAAGCACAATATGGTACCAGGCACAGAGAATAAAGAGACACACACACACACACAGAGCAAGCAGAGGAAGTAAAATCAAAATAGAGAGATGCAAGAGGGACCCAAACCAAGAGCCAGCTTCTGCCAGGAGAGGAACAGAATGCCAACATCCAATTCTCAGCCAAGGTGACAGCCCTCTCTCCCACCCATGCCTTCACATGAAGTGGCAGCATCTTCTCTGCAAATGCTAATTCCCTGAGAAGCAGCTACTCCCCACTGCCATTGTGGGGTACCCTCCAGCTGTCAGGTACTGGGGTTAAACCACCAGGAGAACAACTTTTTTCACAGAGCCTCCTCAAAGGGTGGAGCTCACTCCCACAGGCCAGAGCTGAAAAAATGTTAATAAATGACCAAAGAACCTCACTGCACACAGGAGCATCATGAACGATCATCATGCAGCATCCTCCATGCAGCTGCTGACTCAGAAGGTCCCTGTGCTGCTGGAATCACCCAGGAATCACCCAGAAAGATTGCTCTGTATCTGTGCTGTTCTGTACAAAACTACTCCAGCCCACATGGGTATTGAAGTGGCAAAGCTAAGAACACAGTAAACCAGCAAAGGTATAAGTGTGTCAACTGCAGAGCACACATATCTATTGATGGATCCCCTGGAAGCATTCTATGATGAAGAAGGCTTTTTAGAAGTGGTTTTCTTCCTGTTCTTGCAGTTGTCATTTTCAAATAAGCCTAAGGCAAGCAAGCACAAACCTAGAGTCAGCAAACACCCACGGGAAATGCTGGCTCTGGCTGTAGAGGTGATGGGGGAAACTCAGTAAACTGCATCTGCTCAAATAAACCTGTCCTCTTTCAGCCCCTGCACCCACAAAACAGCCCCATCACTGGCAAACAACAGCCTGACTTAGCTTCTAATTACATTTACTTCGTAAAGAAAGATACCAGGGTTTGGGAGATCACAGAATTACAGCTCAGAGGGACGTCAAGAACTCACCAACCCACTCCCCTGGCAAATATCACCTCAACTTGAATTACTGCAGACAGACACACATCAAACCTGTTCTCACAAACCTTAGAGGGAGGAGGTTCCAAACCTCCCCAGCAAAGCAGATGGCCCATCTCTACTGTTAGAGCACCCTTCCCAAGAGAAGGAAAATACAAATCCCACACACTAGTAGCTGTACTAGTGTTAACTCTCAGTTAATTGGGAAAGATGGAGAAGGGGCAGATTGTACCACAGGGAGATTCATCCCCAGTGACTTGGGGCTGAGGACAACCAGCTGAGGACAGACACCTGCCACAAGGACAATGTCTGTTCAGGGAAATGAACCCACCTCCTGCTGCCCAGGCTAAGCCTTGCTCCTGCAACATCATTTCCTTTCCTGTCTTTGAAGAATCTGCACATATTTTCAAGGCTTTCCAAAAGGGATCACAGATAAGTTACTCCAGGCCCGTGTCCCAGTTTTTGCATAACTTTAAGATATCAATTAGTTCTCAGCATGCAGGGTAGGTGAATGAAAAATGTCACTGTGTTGAGTCCCAGACAACTAGCAAGTAGGGACTAGCAAGCTCATGGCTGTGGTTTGACACCACCAAAGTCAGAGGATACTAGAGATGCTCAGATCGTTGTAGTATCATATCCTAGAAAGTGTTTAAACCTTAGGTCCACAGACAGATGTGAGCATCAAATTTCACCCTGTGTTCAATGCCCTGCAGGGGTTTAGAAGTGCCCCCAGGCTCTCTGAACCCTCAGTTCCAGGGCCTTGTTCAGTACATGATCCTCACTCTCTCAGACACACTCACACTCTAATTTCATATTAGATCTTGGCTGGGCACACGAACCACAGGGATAGAGGAGAAAAGGGGACTTTTCACCAGCAGGGATGGCAGATCTCCAGAATGTTCAAAAGGGGCCGGAAGCCCAACACAACCTGCCCGCCCCAACTCCTATTAACTCCAACAAATTGTTTATTGCACAACAGAAGAAAAATGCTGCCCCTCTCCCCCAGCCAAGTCTTTCCATGTGTGCTGCACGCGCAGGCTCCCTCCTCCCAGCCCCACTGGGGAGCCAGCTTTATACCCAGGGAAAGGTAACAGCAGCGATTATTACACACACTATCCCACAGCTCCTCGCTTGTTAAAAAAAACAAGAGTCTCTTTTGTGCCCGAAATAAAAGGAGATACCTTAATTAGAACAATGCAGGTTGGTAAGCATTAAACACTGAGCCCAGCTGCTGTATGCCATTAAATTCATAAAAAAGGAGGGGGGGAAGGAGGGCAGTCTTAACGAGATTACACACATTGACTTTGATCAAGACACAAAAGCACCAAGGCGTTCCAGGGTTTTTATTGCTGTCTTCAGGCTACATTTTAATGGTTACATTAGAAACATGCGAACACAGGCTGGGAGATTTTTTTTGAGATGGGAGAGGGAGTGCAAGCATGCCTTGTGAAAAGGCCTGGTTTAATAAATTGGGGGCTGCAGGGAGAGACTAGGACTGGGGAACACATGAGTAGTCACTTATTAATTGCTTCCCCTATGCAAGTGCCAAGTCTTAACATGATGTCTTGCTGGACTATTCCCATCCTGCCTGCCTGGTCAGCAAAAGAGCCATGTGCAGATCACACACAGCCAGCTTCATCCCCACCTTTCTCATGGAATTCTAGGCGGAGATGGCTCCCAGTCTGCAAGGAAAATGCTAATCCCTGAGCACCTGGAGCGAGTTTCCCCGTTCTCATGAGCAGCCCTGACTGCTGAACATGACACAAAGGGGCCTGACTGAAGTTGAACTAAGTTGCTGCTGAGTCTCAGAGCAGCCTGAAATTGGTGCCACAGATTTAGAAGGTGACTTGAGACTGGCGGGAAGGGGAGAAGACAAAGACTTCAGAGTAAAGAAAATGAAAAGTATGTTAGTGTTTTATCCTGCGCTTGCAGCACTGCTGAAGGACAAGATTACTCTTCACTTAGCAAAGGTGGTAGAGTACACATTCATCCAAACACCTCACAGCTACGTGCCCACATACGTGTCTTTTATAACATGCTGCTAAAATGTTTACAAAAGCTTGTATAAACTAAATAGTGACGGGGTGTAGCTGAAGAGCTATAAAATACAGCCCGAGGGATAGCCAAGTTATTGAGTTGCTATTAGTACTCAAGCCCACAGGCACTTCACCATCCTGGTAACTTTTCTTGGACAAGACTTTTAAAAGGCAGGATTTAAAGGAGCATGATCAGCTTAATCGTAATTCCAAGCACACAACGTGTTCTATAAAGTAGAGTAATGCCTTACAGGAACAAGTTTTTAGGAGTGGCACTCCCTTACATTTTTTGCAACCCAACACTGTATCATCTTGCTAACAGGAGAACTAGAAAGCACAGCTATTTTCCACTCCCTAACTTAAGCAAAATGAAAGTTTGAAAATCAGCTGCAGAGGGGACATTAAAGGCTGATTATAAAACCCACGGTTTAAACACAGGAAAAGAAAACACTTCATTAAATAACAAATTTTAACCTGATGTCCTTTAATAAATGTATAAATTGCTGCTCTACTGGGTCACCTATTCTGTGTTCAAGGTAGTCCCCAAACTTCTAAACAGGATGGCATATGCTTGAAAACTACACAGTGCTATTTCAAATAATCTAAAAAATACAGATCCATATTCATAAAAGCTCCCTTCCATATCCTCTTCTCCTGAAGATGATTTCCTTTGCTTCGGGGGAATATTACATTTCTCAGAAGCTACCCATTCCATGAAATCTCAGGGGATTTGGCCTCCATTCTCACAGCTTTACCTCTCTGCATGGACGCCCCACAGGAAATTACTGTAAGGCAAGGTAGTCCCTGGCACAGAGCTCTTCAACGAGCCATGGCTGTGCCCACAAGTAGTGGAGCAACAAGCAAGGGGCAGGACAGCACTTTGGTCACAACAACTCAAACAAAACTCACTCAAGTCAAAGCTAGAGTGGGGTGTTACACAGCAAGGTTTGGGCAGTCTGCAGGCACAGCACTCACATTATCTAAAATAAAGCAAAAAGCACCTTTCCCTGTGGTGATCTAAAAGTATCAAAGAAGAGAGGGGAAAGGCTGTAAGTCAACAAGAAAGTAGTCAAGAGCCTCACCAGAGTCCGCAGCCAGCATTCTTCACAGTGCACATGCCAGCACTGAATGGAAGTCAGGGGCATTGTGTAGGAGTCCTGAGGAGAAGAAGCAAACAGGTTATTTCCACAGCAGGGATCTACTGATTCTTCACTCCCAACCCCATCACAATGCCTCTCTTTGTGGGTAACACTGCCTCGTGTTTTGTGTAATATGTAAGTTGCATTTTTGTAATGTTTGTACAGAAGAGGCTGAAAGTCTCCTGCAGTCCCTTTTCTTGGCTTCCCAGAACTCCTGTTGGAAAGCCCATAATCCACTCAAGTGGTGACCTGGCTCAGCACAGTTATCGCAAAAGCATCTGAAGTTGCTGTGGCCACCTGCCATTATTCTCATCAGAAAGGTCACCAGATCATACAAAAACCAGTGACAGGGCAAGATCAACCCTTATCACAATTCACAGCTCTGCAGGAACAGCTTAACTACGTCCCAAGAATACTGCTTCTCTTTCAGCAGACACGTGAGTATCTTCTGTCATTCCTAAGAAACCTCTGGAAATTAGCAGCAAGAGTAAGTTGTTGTTCTTTGTGTGGGATGAATGGCAAGGGCTGCACTCCCACATCTACAAGCTGTGAGCTGGCTGGGAGAGAGAACCCCCTGCATCCAGATGAAGTTGCAGAGGGAGCTCTCCACCAAGCAGAATGTTCTCCTGATCTGAGCAGAACAGAAACCCAACAGGAGATGCAGAGCCCTGCAGGCTCGGACCATCAGAGGGAGCTGCTGCCCTTCTTTAGGAGAGCCACAGCATCAGCACAGAGCAAGCAGGGCATCAACAACTTTTGAATGCTCAGGCAACATTCCTGTTCCCCAAATGAGAGAAAGTGGCTCTCTGATCACAGATTCTACTCTCTCCTATGCATGCAAATGTGCACATGCAGGAAGAGGATGCTTGATATTTGGTAGTGTTCTATAGGAAGGCTCAAAGTCTTCCTATTAAAAAAGTTGGAACTTTTTTCCCTGATATAGATGGACAGCTGCAAATACCACAAGAGCAATGTAATGCATACGGAAATTTGGTTGCTAAGACCACCTTCATTTGGAAGGCTAATTGGTGATGAGCTCTCCTATATTCTGCCTGAAAAAAGGAGAAAAGCTTATCCCCTCCTCAGCAAAGATACCAAGACATTTCTGATTCATTACCACAAGTGGAGTGCTACTCACCATGCAAATGAGACATTTATAGCGGTCCCCACGGGAAAGCTGCCTTTCTAACTCACGGACACGAGCCTTTAACGCTTCAAATGTTGTCACTGCAGAGTCTTCTGTAATTCTGCAAAAGATGATGGAGCGTGAGCATCACTGAGCACACAAGACTCTTAAGAGTTTGGGGGAAAAAGGATCCCACAACAGGTACTGCACAGGAAATGGCATAATACTCAAACTAATATATCCGCTTTGGGGTAAAGCAGAATTCCTGAAAAGCCCACTGTGAACTCTTTAAAGTGTCCTACTAAACACTTCCAAACACATCACCAAAGAACACAACTGATGCTTGGCAGCTTGATACAGAGCAAATTTCCACAAGATACAGACATTTAAAGAACAAGTATTTCTGCTGGGGTTTTTTTGTTTGCTTTCTGCCTTTTTTCTTGTCTCCCTTAAGAGATTACTTAGGATCACATGCTTGAGGCAAAGTTCTGTATGTTGCTTGCTTTAAAGCTGCTGAGATAACTTTTTGTGGGCAAGAGGAGCTGCTCTTCCCCTCAGAGAATGGAGGCCTTTGCTGGACATCAACCTCATGTAATGCAACATCAGCTCATTACACAGGATCAACACAATGCTTTCATATTAATGAAAGCCCTAGTTTTTTGGGTTCTAATACTGAAAAAAAGGAGAAACCAACAGCACTGAACACTGTCAACAGGGTGGTTATAAAGGCAGCTTCACAATCTGCTTTCCCATTTCCTAGGGTCATTTTTGATGGGCAGCATTCTCTCTTTTGTCACAGGAGCTGTGCTGAGGGCAGGCAAGTGTATTTTCATGGTTCTGCAAGGCTGGTGAAAAGAACAACTTGCCAACCTAAAAGCAAGGGCAGACAGCAATGCTTAGCAAATGAGATGCAGGGAGCATTATAGACAAGGATGTGTCACTGGCATGCTGCAAAACCTGATTTCTACACAGTGCAGGCATAAGGAGGGGCCCTCAAGCATTCTCCAGAAAAGGTTTAGAGCATTGACATAAAGGCTTTCACTCTTGTGAATAAAAACAAAACAACAATTTTCATTTATGTCAGTGAATTTCAGGTCTGTCCAAGTAGAGTCCAGCTCAGAAGAACCTGAAGAGTATTTTGCCGTCAGAAGCTGCATCATCAATCAAAATATAACCCACAGTGGCACCCATGTGTTCTACCTTTTTAGAGGATGATTCACCAACAGGTGGTTAAAACATGGGTCTAGTGGAATTACTACAACCAGCAAAGTGAGCTGCAGTCTCAGCTCTCTCACTGCACACACCCACTCAACTCTTCTGTTCATTAGTCACCTGTCGATGGCACGCCAGGAGGGACCCGGGGTATCTCCCATGAGGTGATTCTGCTGGCTTTTCCCAAGCCTTTGGTAAAAGAGCTAGTCAAAGAGATCTTGGATGATTTTTCTAATTATGACACTTCAGAAGAAAGTGGAGCTGCTCAAGTGCGTATGGTTAAGTACTAGTGTTATAAAGCTCCTTCAGCTTCACTCCTGCCTTTGTGCAGATCAGACATGCTCTGCACGAGCTACCGGAGGAGATCTTCATCAGAAGGAGATTCATGGGAAGTGACAGTTGCTAGAAAATGGTAACCATTTCAAAACTGCAAGAAAAAGGCAAATAAGTACACATGTCCCATGATAGCCTAGTGGGTAAGGACTGTCTGGGGACAGGAAGACTGTGGATTCAAGTCTTAGAATCAATAAATATTCTCTGGAGCAAGATGAAAGAGCTTCAGTAGGAGACAGCCTTCCCTGCTGTGAAACACCCACTTGCTCCTACCCATTGGTATGAATTATTACCATATCCCAGCTTGAGTTCTCACCCTCAAGGAAGAGTTGCTAGCATTTTCAAAGGAAGTCTAGAAAGGTGTTAGTTTTGTCTAAGGAAGAAACAGAATTATTTATTTATAGCTTGAAGATTATTGCTGGTTGAGAAAATTGTTTGTCTTCCAGTCTGGCTCACCAACAAACTGATACTGGGTGAAGGCTGAAGTTGAATTTGACTTCCTGGAATCCATTTCTCCTTACTGCATGCACAAGGGCAATGGAGGTGTAAAGGCAGTGAGTGTGACTCCTGCCCAGAGCAGGTGGCAAGCAGAACCTCAACTGTTGCTATATTCTCCTTTTACCATCTGTGGAGCTATCTGTCCTCCTCTGATGGGTGGGTGACTCAGCGAGAAAAGGGAAAAGCTGATTCCTTGAGCAGATACAAGCAAACACCCATTCAACCCCAGTAACAGTCAAAGCCTGAATAGGAAAAATTTGCCACTGCAACAACTAGAGGAGATAGAAAATGGCTTGTTTATAGAAATCTAAATGGTTGACCCTCATCGGCCAATTTTGGAAAGTCTCTGAGATAATCGCACCTGTCCAGTAATAAACGAATGAATCAGAAAAGGAGGCTGAATAGAGGCATAAGCAATAATGCTCAGAGGCTGCTTGATACAATGGCCAATCAATAGGAGGGCTGTAGATCAGGGTGCTAGTTAGCTGGAAAATTACCGCACCGCTGCGTGCGTCACGCTGTAGGGATCCTGGACAATCAATGTGGGAGGTATTGATTTAGTTATTATCACTTCATACGCTCCAGACATTGTTAAATATACATTTATTAACAAGACTGGGGTGCATTGGTAAGAGAGGGAGCTTTAGCCACCGCAGTATCTCCCAGCGCTGATCAAAGCTCAGCTGTGACAGAATTTAAACTCCATGTTCTCCCTGCCAAGTGTGCTCACAGGACAGACGGCACAGTTGCTGAAGACACAGCTCCTAACTCACGAGAGAGATAGGAGTTTTGGCCACAAGTGAGTATTTTGCACTTGAGATTTCAGGAAAACCTCTCAGAGCAGCAGCAACAAGGGACGTGGCAGCCAAGGGTCAACCCAAAGTGAGCGATAATTGCATGGTTGCTTCCGAAAAGCCAGAGGAAATGAGGTCAAGGGAAATAGGGAGAACATTAGTAAATAAAGGAAACTGAAACTACCTCCAGGGATGGAATAAAGACCAGAGTCACTTCCCATGTGTCTGGCTCCTGTGGTGGCCAGCACACTTGGGACACATGCCATTCCATTTAGTGACATTTTACCGTCAACCTGCTGCTTGTATCCTAAAGATAAGCATCGCTTAGGAGCAACTCTTCCTGCAGCAGCAATCTTGGGAACTCCCTCAGGCTTCCCTCTTGTGTGCACACCTCGTGTGTGCTTGCCCAGACACAGCTGGGAGCAGCCTTGGGCAGTATTTTTACAGGGTAACGCCAGGGTGGAGCGAGGGTCAGAAAGCCAAGCTCCATGGACAGGGCAAGGCTGTGTACAAGTCACCCTGCCAAGTGAGGCAGAGGGAATTACAGGGAAGAAGGAACTGGCTCTCTGCTTTGCCTTGACCTCGTGCTGGATGCAGGAGGACTCTCAACAATTTTGTGCCTCAGCGCTCCGATTTGACGTGTTTGGATAACGTCATTTATCAGCCTCCAGAGAGACCTGCTGAGCACGACTGCTGCCAAGAGCAATACCTTGAGAACCAGCGCTGACGCTTCTCCAGCAGGTGCAAGTGGCCTCCCTGACACCTCAGTTGTCCTGCCTGGCTGAGGCTGTACCAAGAGGGCACATCCATGACAGAGACTCGTTGTGAACCTACACCACCACTGCGAGAGAACATTTATACAAGAGCAAAAAGAAGAAGGGAGGGCTCCTCGTGGAGGAAGCTGGGTCTTGTACTTCTCTCTGGACTTCGTGGTTAACTCTTCCACAACGTGGCAGACACAGCTGAGGATGCTGGGTACCAAGGAGCAAGTCTGTGAGACTGGGCAAGACAGCATGTGGTAATTTTCAGTCTTTATGCCCAACACACATTTTTCTACTACTCACAGCATTTTCCCCTGAGCACTGAAAATAAGAACAAATTTTATTTCTTGGAGCAAATCCTTGCTTTGTTTAGGTAAAAGGCCAGAAGAAGTGCACAAAACTACCATGGAGGAGGAGAAAAGACCTATCAGTAGCTTTGAGCTGTTAGGAAGCAATCACCTCCTGGGAAATCTCCCCTGGGAAATGGCTGCCCCCCTCTTTGCAAAAAAACTTTAACCCAAACACTGGTTATTTGTTAAACATTAGCATGCATGTGATCTTTGTTTCTCCAAATTAAATCGAGCAATTCCTACCCGCTGTCCCAGTGGGCAATCACAGGCAATTCCGTTAATTAAATTATCTCTGATTCTGCAGCTCTGGAATCTCTCAATTGACTAAGTCTGTGCTTTATCATCAACAAAATACTGGACCAAAAAGGAAACAAAAAAATGCTGATGTCAGAGTGATTGGCTTCAGTTAACCCTTCCCAGCTGGATATTAAGGGCTGCTCAAGAAACTGTTGTACTGGAACGAGCCCAAGAGCGAGAGCCCTGTACCACAGATACCAGCAGCAGCTGTTCACTTGTGTTTCCTTTCTGTTGTACAGAAAAACACAAACACCACACAGCCACTGCATCCAGCATCCTGCCTGTCTGAGAGCCACAGAAAGATGCAAAGCATTAGCTGCTGAAGAAGCAGAAAAACACCTCACAGATCAGCAAACCCCCGCAAATACTCCATCCTCACCTTATCTAGACCTAACTTGATGTATCCTGCTGTTGAGGCGTCTCCATAAAACATTCCCCTTTGGTTTATTTCAACTGGATATAAATTTTCCTTTCTTCATAAACGGCCACACTGTACACAGCATTCCATAAATTTTTACAATTCCACTGTTTGTATGTACCTTGTAAAAAACGCTTAGCACTGATTAAATGCACTACCAATAAAATTTCATGGGCTACTTTTGACACTTGATATTCTGACCTTCTTCTCTCTTCCTCATACATTTATTTTTGCTTTCCTACGCCTGTAAACACAGACTGGCAGAGAGGAAAATGTACAGTACCACTTACAAACCCAAGAGTGATGTATTTATTTTTAAACAAAGCCTTTATCTTCCCCTGTACAAAGTGGAGAACCTGATCCCAGCAGAACATACATGCCACCTCCCTGCACCAAGGGCAGAGGTCGGGTCACTAGCAGCTTACATACCATAAATATTAGAAACAGACTGGTCGATG